CTTCCCAAGCGGCGCACTAGCACAGTGCGCCACCAGGCCAGCCCATATATATCGTCTGTTTTAATCCTTGCAGTGACCCTGTGAAGTAGACATTATTTTTGACCTCTCACAAAATATGAATGCTGAAGTTCATGGTGCCCAAGCAGCTTTCCAGGGTTTCACAGGTGATGATCTAGCCACATTTTGGAACTGGATATGACTCTAAGATTTGTATTCAGTATCATGGTATATCCTGCCCCTGGCCCAGAAGTCTCCATGTGCAATCAGAGATCATGCGATCAGAGATAAGAATAGAAAGACATGTATTCAAAACATAAAGCCTCAAGAACAGGCAAATGATAAAGTTCCTGAACACGTGTGCATGAGCACACACACGTGTGCACGCATTCCCAGAACCATATATGTAGAATCTCAGATCAAATAGAGACACAGGAAAGAACTTACTTTGGAGTTGGGATAGGGAGGGAGAAGTACAGGGGAATTGGGTTATCTAAGCCGACAGACACGTCATTACATAGAATTAAGAACGTGAGCTTTGGAATCAGATGTGTACTTGTTACTGGTTTGATGAAAGTACGATCTTGTCAAGTAGCATAACCATAAAAAGTTAATTTTCTCACCTGTAAAATGGAACAATTATAATACCTGTATCACTGGAAATAATGACTGCACGTTTCTTAGTGAGGGAAGCTTCAATAGAGCAGATTTAGAAGTATGTACCTTTCACTGGAAAATGTACAACTTGTAGAATTGGCCCATGTTGTTGAGGGGCCAGCTGGCTGTGTTTGTGGAGTATCTAATTCCCAGAACACTTGTGCTCTCTCCTCAACATTGAAGACAGAAAAGCCCTCGGTCCTTGGGAAAATATTCCAAGTTTTGTTTACTGGTTTATATCCCTTAATCAGACGATAATTTGGATTTCCCTGATACTGTGATGTTATAAGGAACAGTTGGGAAAACGCAAACAGCAGCAATATTTTCTTTCTTACTCTTCAACCTTGTTCACTGGCCAGAACTCACAAGGTATTTCTCCAAACCCATATGTGGTAGGCAGAATAGAGGCCCCAAAACATGTCCAAACCCGAGCAGCAATATTTTCTTTCTTACTCTTCAACCTTGTTCACTGGCCAGAACTCACAAGGTATTCCTCCAAACCCATATGTGGTAGGCAGAATAGAGGCCCCAAAACATGTCCAAACCCGAATCCCTGGAACCTGTGAATATGTTACCTTACATGGCAAAAAGGGACTTTGCCAGTGTTAAGATGGAAAGATTATCCTG